TACCTGCTGTGTGCCAGGTACTATGCTAAGCACTTTTTACAAATGTCATTTCATTTGATCCTCACACCTGTGTTGGCTAGTAGTTTGGTTGTGTTATTATCTCCATTTTACAGATGGGGAAACCAAAGCACCAAAAGGTTAAGGCTGGATTCCTGACTCCAGGCCAGCGTTCTATTCACTACACCACCAGGGACAAAAAGTATATGAGGGGCTAAGGATTTCAGGCGATCTTAAAGAATCAGGAGAAGAGAATGAATAAGAACTAAATTAATATTTATTCACTCCTTTGTAAGTAGATAAATATTTTTGGAGGTGGGACAAGGTGGGGATAATATTGTGAGAAATTTCTCAGTTGAGAAAAATGGAGGCACAGAACAGAGGGGAGCTGGAGATGCATTTTCCTGATTGACCTCTCCAAGGCAGTAAGTGGTCTCCAAGAGAAGGGCAGTTTGAAATATATCCATACACATACATACGTAGATATACACACATATACATAGATATACATACACACACATATAAAAGCAAGTGTGTCAATCTTTGGGGAACTTAAAATTTGAGTTTTGAATAGACCTGAGAGAACAAAAATAAGCACTGTGTGGGATTCAGGATTCCCTGGAGCGTCTCTGACCTCTACAGTAAGCTTTTTGGATTAAACAGTTTTCTAGCCACATAAAGCTAGGTTCAAACAGTATTAATAAATGGTAAATAATAATCTATACTTTACTATAATTTAATAAAATGGTATAAAACAATAAAAAGGATACAAAAATAAAACCCAGCAATTTGTTAAATACAAGAACTACATAAAAACTGAAGCCCATGTATGAAATAAAAAGGAAAAACTGAAATCAAATTACTATGTATCAGATGATTCTAAATAATCTAGAGTTACAGTGGTGTTGTCAGGCAAAGCAAAAATAAATTCATGAAGTCAAAGGAGATAATTAGGGAAATTCTGTCTGAAGATGCCGAAAACAATGACGCAGTGCTAGTGTTAAACATATGCAGCAAAGGCATAACGTCTAAATTTTTTAGTGAGAAGTTCTGAATTGCAAAAAAAAAAAATCCTAATCAATAACAATAACTGTAGGGGATTTTAATATTTCTCTTTCTGAGCTGGATGAATGTAACAAAGATAAACAGAAAAATAGAAATAATTAAAAGCTCTTTGAAAGATAACCATAATAAGGAGACAATATAATTTTTAAAATGCAAGTAAAATAGTTCTCAACAGAAAAATTATCTCTGAAGACCTCCATTGACAATATAAAAAAAGAAATGATTAATGACCTGAGTATATAATTTCAAAAACTAAGGAAATAATGACAGCAGCTAGGTGGTGCAGTGGATAGAGCATTGGGTCTAGAGTCAGGAAGACCTGAGTTCAAATCCAGCTTCAGCCACTTACTAGCCATATGACCCTGGGCCAGTCACTTAACCCTATTTACCTTAGTTTCCTCATCTGTATAAGAGAAGGAAATGGCAAAAAACCACTCCAGTTTCTTTGCCAAGAAAACCCTGAATGGGGTCATAGAGAGTCAGACATGACTGAACAACAAGTAATCAATGTATTACCAAACCCCAAATGAGCACCAAATAAGAAATGTTGAAAATTATTGGAGAAGAGTACAATGAATACAATGGAAAAGAGTGACTACAGTCACAGTGCTAAAAGTTGGTTCTTTGATAAGGCTAACAATCAATAAACCTTTTGACTCAACTGAGCCAAAAAGATATTAATAATAATAAAGAGAGGAAAATCAACTTATCAAAATTAAAATGAAGTGGCTTTATAATAAAGAAGAAATAAAAATAATTGTTAGAACCTTCTATATACAATTATGTACCAGCAAAACTGAGAATTTGAAACGGTAGATAAAGAGGTACCTACAGAAACACAAGGTACTCAAATTAACCAAACATGAATCAGATTCCAACCCAGTCTCAGACAGTGAAATTGAATAAATCACAAAGCACTATTGGAGACAAAACCCTGGTCCAGGCACATTTATAGATGAACTCTAGCTAATTTCTAAAGAACAATTAAAACCCAGTCTCAATGATTAAGAAAAAATGCATACCACTTGATTAATTTTATGAGAACACTATACCTAAACTAGGGACAGATAGAGTTGAGCAACAGAAGCATATAACCATATCACTAATAAATACTGACACAAAAAATTTAAATGAAATCCTAGCAAACAAGACTACAGCAATATAAAAATATTCACTATGACAAAGTTGGATTTATACCTGGAATGCAAAGATGGTTCAGAATTCAGGAAACAATAAGACTAATAGTATCTATCAAAAGCTAAAACAAGGGGCAGCTAGGTGGCGCAGTGGATAGAGCACTGGCCCTGAAGTCAGGAGGGCCTAAGTTCAAATGCGGCCTCAGACCAAACACTGGACACTTACTAGCTGTGTGACCCTGGGCAAGTCACTTAACCCCAGTTGCCTAAAAAAACAAACAAATAAAAGCTAAAACAACCAAAACCAAATGATTATATCAATATGCAGAAAAAACCTTTAACAAATTATAACAGTAATAATAATAATAACTAACATTTAAGGTTTGTAAAGCACTTTACAAATGTTATCTTAGTTTATCTTCACAACAACCCTAAGAGGTATGTGCTCTTATTATCCCCATTTCATAAATGAGAAACCTGAAGCACCAATAGGTTAAGTGACTTGCCCAGGGTCACATAGCTAGTAAGTATCTAAAGCTAGATTTGAATTTCCTTACTCCAGGTCCATTACTCTGTCCACTGCACCACTTAGTTATCCAGGGATGGATTTCAGGTCAGGGGGCAGAGGTGGGGGTGGGGGTGGGGATGAATAATGAGTTCAGTTTTGTGTATGGTGAGTTTGAGATGCCTATGGGAATCCAGGTATAAGATTATTCTCAATCTCAGACTGTTTGTATCTTCTGCAACATATTAAATGTACTGATCATAAATGATACTGTTGTTGTAATAATAGTAATAATTAACATTTATATAGAGCTTACTATGAGCCAGCACTGTGCTAATTCTATATATTTTATTAATATATTTAAATATATAATTATTCAATCTCAATCATTCCACAATCACTCTGGGAGGCAAGTGGTATCGCCATTTCACAGCTGACGAAACTGAAGCAGACATCAGTTGTGATTTACCCAGGGTCACCCAATTATTAAGTGTTTGAGGCTGGATTTGAACTCAAGGTCTTTCTGACTCTAGGCCCAGTGCTCTATCCACAATGCCACCTAGCTGTTAGCTAATATTACCCAGCATATCAACACGCTTAGTACATTACAGAGCATATAGTTAAGCTCAGAATGAAAACTGTGTGAGAGAAAACTGCTTAGTTATATCTGTTATATCCAAATGCTGTATATCATGGTGAGGCCTGACTTTACTTCCCTGTCCAAAATGGGTCATGCGATGCTAAGTCTGTATGTAGCTCTCAAGTCACACCTCAGTATTTGGTAACTAAATTCTCCCTCTGGGTCTTTTATTGATTGACTTTCTTCCCTCCTCCTCCCTAAGTGCAAACCTCTCCCAAAGCCATTCCCTGCTCTTCCCTTTCTCTCTCCTGCCTCTGAACACTCTCCCAGCCTGAGAGCCATACTAAGAGCAGACTTCTTTCACGTTCCCTGTTGACATTGTTTTCTTTCTTCAGGGTATAGCTCAGGGGTCAACTTCTGTATGAAGCTTTCTCTAGTCCCCCTAGCTCAAAGTCTTCTCTCTCCTCAACTTTCTTATGTGATTTTTTTTCTTTGACTCTCCCTTTTGTATTTAGTACATGCATCACAGTATTCAAATACATGTATTTCTCTCCCCTGTTAGATTGCAGGCTTCTTAAAGAAACTTGTCTTGTTCATTTTTCTCTGTAATACCTAACAGTGCCTTGAACACAATGGCTATCTGATAATACACATATATATTATGAATCAAATTAAATATGGAGGTAATTTTCTATGGTAGAAAGCGCTGTGGGGGTGGGGGGGCAGGAGGGAGGTAAGAGTCTTCCCAAAATGCCAGCCTGCCTGTTTGATGAAAGCCATGGATATGTTCTAGCCTCATTTGAACCATTTCTGGCATCCTTCTCTTGTGCCCAAACTAGTAATGTAGCAAAGTTGCCTGATTTATGTTTCGTCTCCTTTCTCTTTGACCTATTTTAGGTGCCAAAGGCAGATAGCAAAATGAGAGCAAGGCCTTAAGAAATAGAACCTTGTGTCTTGTATCTGAGAAAATAGACAAGAAGCAATGAAAGAAATGAGATAACATTATCTTTCAAAACAGATATTTCTCCACTTGGCAATACTAACTTTGGCTCTGTAACCTGAAAATATATAAAAATAAGTAAATAGAAAATAAAATAAATAGAAGTAAAGAAAATAAGTAATTCACCTCAGTTTAAATGATCTTGTTTTTTTTTCTTTCTTCCAATTCAGTTTTGTTTTATGTTTTTTCCTGAAGAAATGGATAGAAAGCTGGCTTCAGAGCCTATAAAACCTGGTTCAAATGCAGCCTCTTAACACATTGCCTTGTGTGACCCTGGGGCTAAGACTAAATTGCAGAAAAGATCCCAACCTGTAGAGGGAGTTTTCCTCATCTGAGAATTCCTTTTGCCAATAAAGTCATAGGACTTGTCCTTCTCCCTTCTCCCCTATTGTTTATTAAACTTTTGACCTCAGAACCTCTTTGAATCTTGAGATGAGAAGCTAGAAAAAGAATTGCATGCTTTTCACCTGACCTCTTTAAGTGATATGGACTCAGTCAATTACATCTACTTCTAGGTTTGAATTAACATCTTTTTTTTCTATTTAAAAAAAAATTTTTTATTAATTTATTTTGATTTATCAACAATCACTTCTATATGCTTTTGAGTTGAAAATTTTTCTTCCCCTTCCTCCCCACCACCCTCCCCCAGACGGCACATAATCAGATATAGGCTCTATATTTACATTCAATTAACATCTTGCACTTCTTTCTCTAAAGGAAGTAGAAATTCGAAACAAAGACCTGGAAGGACAACTCTCTGACCTAGAGCAGCGTCTGGAGAAAAGTCAGAATGAGCAAGAAGCTTTTCGCAATAACTTGAAGACACTTTTAGAAATTCTTGATGGAAAAATATTCGAACTAACAGAGTTACGAGATAACCTGGCCAAGCTCCTAGAATGCAGCTAAAGGACCTGGGATTTCAGTGCTGATCCTTTTAAAGACGCGCTGACTCTTCTTCATAGGACTACCTTGGGCTCTGCATCAAAGTTGCACAAAATTAGGATATTACTCCTCCTCGAGGAGGACCTATTTGCAAATTGGAATAGGATATTTCAGTGTACAATTTAGATTTCAGCTTGTAGCTAGTTAAAAACAAAATGAAAAACTTGAACTACAAATTACCTCCTTGTACATTATTGGCCATAGTTAACTAGAAAGCTATTCATAGTCATTTGATGCAATCCTTTTCTGATATTAGCCAGTGGGAGAATTAGCAGTGTCTGGGTCACATCCTCCCTTTTTTTTTGTGTTGGACACAGTTGTAGATTACCTGCTTTTAAAATTTATTTATTTAAAATATCTAACTGCTGTGTTTTGTGCAAAAAAAAAAACAACCCAAACTTAGTGATGAAAGCCCTGTGTTTTGGTTTTTTTGGGGTTTTTTTTTTGTTGTTGTTAATGTTGTTGTTGTAACCTTAATGATTTCTCAGGATACTTTGCACTGTTGAGAAGCAGTGTCTTTACCAATTAATTCTTGCCAGGAGTGAGAGAGAAATGCATCTTTAATTGAAACACAGATAATATAACTGCTTGTATAAAGTTCTTCCCTTTTTTTATACTGGAAGATGTTTCACTCTTGTTCACTCTGGTGTTCTATGATACTGTCCAGTGTATGGTTTACTTTTCCATATTGATTCCATGTATTTAGGACAAGATATTGTCTCCCATTTTATTACACATTTTAAAGCCAACAAATGAAGGCAGCTGAGTCCCTCAGAAAAAATTTCTTTTTAAATTTCTGATAAATTTGACATACTGTACTGAAATATAACAGCCGGCCGTCAATGGTCTGGTCTGTCTAGCAATGTTAAGGATATTTACAAAATATGCAGTTACATTAAGATGTTTTATTTATATATTTTGCAAGAAATATTTTCTGAATGATCAATGCATTTCAATTTTAAGTGTAATAGTGGCGAATGGGGAACTAACTCTGTTTATTATAGCTCATTTTAAGGATGTATAGCTGTTTTAAAGGGGATACATTTATGTTGAACTTGCCCGACCAAGAGGACTGTTTCTCACTGCTGTGATAAAAGCAAATTGAGATAGAGACAGGTTTACTCTGTCTGGGTCTTCACACCACATTTGTATCCAAACCACACTAGGCAATATTCTGAACTGTTAACTAGGTGTTTCAACACGGAAATTGAATTCACTAGACTATGCTCAGTGAACATGTTTTAAAGTTGTTTTGATGTAATTTTAAAAAGATTTTTGGCAAACCTGCATTTCTTTATATGATATATTTATTTTAAGAAAATCTTTGAAAGGTAAGCCAAGCATCATTTTGTCTGCTTACTGAGTAGGAATTGCATCAAACTCCGTCCTCACTGTAAAATACCTGTAATGTTGGAGAGGATTCTTTTTTAGAATGGATGAATGAGTGTCTGACTTTCAAGATCAGTCTCAAGAGGCACTGATTTTTCACTTGCACCCCATGTTAATTTACATACAAGGTTAAGATAGTTAAGAAATTTGTACAACAGACCGCAACTTCCACTTAACAGACAGAGTCTCTGTATTAGAACATTTGGGTCTGTTTATATTTATGTGTGTATGCTTCTAATGCATACACATTTAATTTATATAAGAAAGAACATAAACACAAATGGTTTATTTATAAAATTACAATTTTCTTTTAACAGGGAGTTATCAGGTGTTTCCTGAAAACTTTCTGTCAGACCCTCAATCATCCTATATTATATGTGCTCAAACATCCTGTAAGTCACCTCCATCTATTTTAGGCTATTTTCTCACCTCTTATTCTGGGGAGAACAGTTTAGCTAAACATGCTCAGAGTTGAACTATTTCTGTGGTAAGTCACATGATTCATTTGATTTGGCGGATGGAATTTAGAAGTAGAAAATGTCGTAATATACATAGTCCCCAAGGAACCAGGAGCGCTAAGCGTGTTCATTTAAGTGGAGGTTTTGACTTGGGGATCAGGGAATTTAGTCATAAAGAAATAAAATGATGTAAGTTAATGGCATGGCAAGTGAAGTATCATTTTAATGATGTAATAATTAAAATATTTTTACAATTTGCCATAGGTGTCATTTAAATGTGGGAAAATAGTTCACTAAAATGTCTCCACGTGACTTGTGTTAATATGTGAGACATGTGTCATTCAATATATACATATAAGCATATGTATGTACACAGAAAATTATTTTTAATATTTTCCTACTGAAATGAAATTTGAAATTGGACTTTTTTGAGATTTTTTTCCTTGTCCCATAGTGGATAGTTTTTGGTTTTTTTAGAGATTAACAATCTATTGAAGGCTGCACCTTTTAAATTCCCAAATTGTTACAAGACATGTACATTATATGGGATAAGGTGGATATAAGTGCATATATAAATAAAATTTTATTGTTATGAATATTTTAAATGTTCATGTACAGCAGGTCAGTATCTGGAAATTGACATCTGCAAGTCATAATTAGGTTGTGTGCCTCCTGTAGGCCCTCCATTTCTATATTATAAAAATGATCATTTACATATTTGAAAAACTAATTTTTCCCAGAGAAAAGTACTATATAGTGTACCTATCTTTAGATCCAACTGTGGGGACACAGTCACATATGTATTTGCCAGCAGATAATGTTGGGGCAGAAGATAACCATGGGAGTGGATATGGAACAACATGGGGTGGGGGTGGGGGAACCAGAGCAATCACATCATGTATAACTTGTTATATGACAACTGTAGAGTCTTGTTAAAAAAAAATTTTGGAAAAAAAAAAGAAAAACAAAAATACAATTTTTATTTTGAAATACACTTGCTGTTCTCTGGAGAATGTACTTTTTCTCTTTATTTTTCTTTTCTCAAATCTTTTACAGGTATTAAAAAAAAGTGTCTAAGTGATGGCAGCATTTACTTAAAATCTTACAGGTGCTACTGGATTTTGCATTAGTGTGTTATGTTGTGAAATCCTGACTTTGACATAAAAGGTTTTTATAAGTATTTCCCCGCGTGGAAAATTAGTTTTTGGTCTCTCTCTCTCTCTCTCTCTCTCTCTCTCTCTCTCTCTCTCTCTCTCTCTCTCTCTCTCTCTCTCTCTCTCTCTGTAAATAACAAAATTTCCAGGAAATTGCATTTCTCTTGGCCCATTAGAAGAATTCTAGGACCCACTTATCTTTACTGCCTTGCTGTTGTTTAACTTGCAAAAAAGGAGATAAAATGATCTTGGACTTGGAGAACTTTAGAGCTCGAAGTGGCCTTAGATACCATGTTAGTCTAAAAGAGAAATATGTTTACAAGTAGACCTAAGGGCATGGGCCCCTTATCAAAACTAAACTACATATTTAAACTCAATTTTTTATCCAGCAAAAATTAAATTATTCTTCACCATATGTGCTGTCGCCTTAATGAAATATTGAATGTTAGCCCTGAAAAGAACCTTAGACCTCATCTACCCCCCTTCTTTTATTTATAGATGAGGAAATTAGAGCTCTAAGAGGCTGTACACCAAGATCGTAGAGCTGGTGGCAGAGCTTGAGAGTAGGACATGGCTTTCCAGCTCCTGGTCTGCCGATGTTAAGGTGCCCAGTTGGAACAGAATGAGCCACCTGTGGTTTGGTCTCAGTCAAATCTAGCACAATATCAGGATGTTAGGTGTTTCTCTCTCTTTTTTTTAACCTTAGCTTTAATTATACTTTTTTTTAAATAGCTTCAAATGATTTCTATGGATTTATAAGTATTTTTGCATCATTGAATCTTAACTTTGCCTCTGAGATAACTTGACATTGTTCCTTTATTGTTCATGTGGAAAACACGATTGAAACTTTATAGAAGAAAATTTTTAAGGTAAGAAGCAGAGATTGATACAAATGCATTTCTTAAAGAGCTCAACTAGAATCTGGCTTAACTGTTATTATTAGCAAGTTGCATTTCTCAGAATAAAATGTATATATGAAATGTTATAAAAACTATTTTGGAAACTGTTTATTTAAAAGTATCGTGGTGGGGGGGTAGAGTGGGGAGGGAGTAAATGGATCTTTGACTCCATTCTGTGACCCATTTGTAGAATTGCAAACTTAACAGGGCATTATCCTTTCATTAAATATTAGATTCGATCCTAACATTTTCTTATGTATTTCTCTTCTGTATACATTATAGGATCATCAGTTAAGAGCTAGAAGGGACCCCAGAAGTCACCGAGTATTAACACCCTCATTTTACAAATGCAGAAACCAAGGGACAAAGAGGGTCCAGTGATTTGCCCATAGTCACATGGGTGGTGAATAGTAGAGTAGGGATTCAAAACCAGGCCCTCTGGCTCTAAATGCAGTGCCTTTAAAACATTTCTAGAGGTCACATAGATTAAAAAAAAAAAGCATTGAAATGACTGGGGAGAATTTTGTGATTTCTTATTCACTTATACAAATCACTTCCTAAATGGTTAATATCTATTTGATATAATGAAATGACTTCCATAATTAATACTATTTTCATTACTGGACAAAAATGTGGCTTTTGGTCAGAAAATGCAGATGCCCTGAGGACATGTGTTAACCAGGATGGAGGCCATGTGTCATTCTTTTCTATGCCTGCCTGTCATGGCCTTGTGTCCCTTGTTTTCCAGAGGACAGGAAGAGCTAGGAGCAAAAATGGTTTAGATGAGTCCCCAAAAGGAGGATGGAACTGTTATTCATGCCACCTTCTTTTAATAAGGTGCTTCATTTTGCCTGTCTGGATATCAAAGCATGAATAACATTCCTCCAAAAGCTTCTTCCTTTGCAGTCTTCTCCGATCAAATCCATTCAAATGTGAACATTTTGGAATGAAAGGGCTCTCCCAGTGGTTGCTAATAAGCTAGAGTTTCAGGCAACACCCTATCATAATATCTGAAATCATCACTTGATATAAGGATCTCAAGTCCAGCTCTGAATCCTAGGATGCTGTGATTAAGATAGCTGATCCTAGGGACTAGTTGTTGTGTGAGGTTCTGACCTATTTTTGTCAGTTATATTTCTGCTAGAAGGATGTAATGGCTTTTTCTTGCAATGACATCTAGTTACCGTGGTAATGGTTCCCAATAAAGCCTTAATTCATCTAATCAAGGTGGCCAGAGGAAATGGTATGTGTAGTAAACACTTTTCTGGCAAGTTGATCACTTTTTCTGCCTGTCCATTTATTAGAAGCCACTCATCTGTTCATCTGCATATACATATATATATACACACATATATATATATACACACACACATATATGTATATGTACATATATATACACATATACGTATATATGTGTGTGTATATATATGTGTATATATATATATACATATATATATATATACACACACACATAGAGGTTTTTCTCTTCTATTAGTAATTTATTTTATGGAATACCAAATAGATTTATGTAAATCAAAGCATTTTCTTGCTGATTGCCATAAGGAAATTGAAGATATGCTTTCTATGGGAAAATCCCCTAACATGAGTTAAGCCACATGATATAGAGTTGCCCTGGGCCATTCCAGGCATTTTTGTATATTGGCAATGAGTCAGCATCCTAAGATTAGAAGTTTAGAGGTGAAAAGGACCTTGAGAGATCATCCAGTCTAGTGGTGTCAAGCTCAAATAGAAACATCCCTGACAGCTTCGTATTGACTTAGAAAACTGCAAATTACCATTACTTGTGTTCTTATTTATTTCGTTGAACATTTCCCAATTACATTTTAATCTGCTTCTGGTCATACTCTGAAGTTTTGCTGCCCTGGGCAATGAGTTCATTTGACCCCTTTGGTCTAATCCAACCTCATTTACCAGGTAAGGAGGACAAGGCTTAGAGCACTTGAGTAATTTGTCCAGGGTCCTACAGTTAGTAGGTAGCAGAGTCAGGATTTGAACCAGGTCCTCTGACTCCAGGTTTGATGATCTCCTCACTACAGTGTGCTGTCTTTCTGTTTCTTGCAAAGACAGACTAAACTTCCCCAAAAGTACACTTTTTATAAAGCATTTTGGAGCTCCTTCCCAGTTCTGAGGATTCCTTCTCCATCACTGCCTAAAAAGCCAGTCTTCATGGACAGTACAAATTTCTGTTATACTTGGGTAACATACTTTCATCTAAGCTTTGCTTTCTTTAGTCTCCTTTTGCCTAGGTATTCTAGTATCAAATAATATTACATTGCAAATCATACTTTACTAGGAGATCTTCTTGTCTAATATGTATTATAATATATCTAATATATTGTTATATCTAATATATTTTATAACCTGAAAATTCCTCAACTTAGAGGCTAAAGTAATAAAAAACATTAACCTTAGAGTTGCAAATTTGCAAAATGTGACAAAATAGAAAATGAGAGATTCTGGAAGTTGGAAGGCAAACTCATGGCTAAATTCCATAGTGAAACTCAAGTCCAAGAGCGAGAACATACACTCCTTGAGGTCAGGAACTCTCATTTTTTTCACATCTGTATATTCCAGTGCCTAGTACTTCACACAGTAGATGTTTTATAATTATTTTTCAAATGAATTTAAAAGTCTCAATTACCCTTCCTTTTTTATCTTCATTCCCTAAGGTCAACTGAGTGCTTCAGTGTGATGAATTTGAAGTCAGAAGAACTGCGTTTGAGTTCTGCCTCTGATATGATAACTGTTTGACCTTAAGCAGATCACTTAATTTCTTTTGACTTCAGTTTCTTCATCTATAAAATTGGGGTCATATTACACTATTTTCACAGAATTATTGGGGGAAAAACCCCAATCTGCAGAGAGCTATAGAAATGGGGAATATTAACTGAGCCATAGGTACAAGTTTTAAGTATATGCTGTTGTGTGTGACTTTTATGTGATCCTAGCCCCAAAATCCCTGAAGAAGATGGTGATCAAGTCCTTGCCAGGTTGGACCAAATCATTACATCAGCCCCAGAACTGAAATATTCTGCCTAGGACCTTTCAGATAGATGATTACTGTAGGACTGGTTGGAAACTACTGGTATTTTATCTTTATTTGGCTTTTGTTTGTTTTTTTGGGAGGGAGGCAATCAGGGTTAGTGACTTGCCCAGGATCACACAGCTAGTAAGTGTGTGAGGCTGGATTTGAACTCAGGTCTTCCTGACTCCAGGGTCAGTGCTCTATCCACCATGCTACCTAGCCACTCTATTGGTTTTGTTTAAATGAAAATGAACTTTCAAGGACATATAATCACCCTTTCTTCCAAAATTGTATCAAAATGGACCAAATTCATGAGTTTGAGAGTGCACGGTATCATCCAACTAGAAGTTCACGAATACACAGTTAATGGTGAGAGTCTGTGGATTTGGGGCCAAAATACTGAAGATTTTTCTAAACAGACTTTTATCCTATACTTACAGAAAGCCTAGAAGTCTTCCAGAGTCAAATAAATGTTACCTATTTTATGGAGGATAGTAATACAAAACCGTAGAAACTCTTAACTATCATTTTACTTGTGGGACCTCTGCAAATAGTTTTATGGGAACATGTTTCCTATACTTTCCATAAGAACATGTTGTAATGTGTATCTAGGAATTGACCAGCCCCCTTGTCAGACAGCCCTTGTTGACTCTGCTTTCAGATGCTGTAAGACTAAACCAGCTTCTGCCCAAGTGAGATGGAGAGCTATTCTTTCCATGTTTTTTAATTTACCAAAGCCTCAAAGTCTGAATGTCTCACAGTTACTTTCTAATGGGTACTGGGTTTCTTTCTTTCTTTCTTTCTTTCTTTCTTTCTTTCTTTCTTTCTTTCTTTCTTTCTTTCTTTCTTTCTTTCTTTCTTTCTTTCTTTCTTTCTTTTCTTTTTACCATTTATTTTTAAATGGTGTTTATTGCTAGTATTGGGTGATTTCTCATTTGCCTTGATAATAGACTTTATTCAAAGTATGTTCAGTTATTTAGTTGGTTTTTTTTAAATGGCCCTTAATGTTTTTCAGGTTGGCCCACATCCAGAGGTGAATAGAGTGCCAATTACCCATAGTAGAGATAACACCCTGCCGAAGATTCCAGAAATCCTCTTTTTGGTTTTGGACTACAGCATATGATTTCTCCCCACCCCTAACTAGCAGGGTTAGCTTCCTCATTATGTTTCACTTAAACTAAAATTAGTTTTCTTTCCTTCAGCAGACACCAGCTGAGAAACACAATTAAATAGCCTGAGTATGTTGATTGAGTAAAGGAGGGGAGAAGAAGGGTATATGACTGGGATTAAAAATTGACTGCACATAATAACCAAAGTAGACATGGGGATAATGCATCTGAATAATTTCCATTGGCCCATTTTTCTGCGTGATTATGTGGCAATAACTTAGTGGTATTTTGAATATTATCTTAGGCTTAGCATTATCTGAGTCATGAAAGATCCCAAATGTAACCAGTTGGTGGACAAATATTGTCCCATGAAATGCAGGCACTAAAGTGCCAGGTGGTAGAGACAGATAGATGCACAGACAGACAGAGATATATCCACATTCAATTGTGATAAGTATTGAATATAAAATTAAACAAAGGACTGAAGAAACAAGCTTGATTCTAGTTTCTCCTGGAAGTCTTCATTTCTTCCCTAGGTTACATTGGATAGATTAGAAGATGGTGCTGCTAGAATCCACATATACCAGTATATATAGATATATCTATGTAGAGATAGGTAGGTTAATCTCAGGTTTTAATTCAATGCTATTTAACTTCTTATTTAGTAAGAGGATGGGAAGAGTCAAATGATTTGGTCACGAGTGCTAACTCATTCAGTCACCAGGGAATTCATTCAGTTTTGATCATAAAATAAGTGTTAAGCCTTCGGTTACCTTGTTTTTTTCTCCTCCCTTCTTTTCTTCATCTCTTCAGCTTTTCTGTTGTTTCATCTATCCAAGAGAAGTTCTTTCTAAATTCTCGGTGATTGAAGGCACCTTAAAGAATGGATTCTAATATATTAAATTCAGACTTGATCAGCTTCCAGGCACCGAATATTCTCTGTCATTTAATGAGGTAATTTGGATGTTTTAAACATCTGGGTAACTGATTACCTCTGTGGAGATCTAAAATACATCACACATATTCTGCCTTGGTAAAGAAGATTGTCATCAATTTAACTTTTCCCTGATTGATTTCAGGCATCAACCTAAATATCAGCTATCA